GGAGGGTATGACCAAAGAGGGAGCCCAACCCAAATAAAATGCGTCGAGAAAATAAATAAGGCCAGAAATGAAATCCAAATAGGAATCACAAGAGATTCCTTGCTAAGATCAAACAAAAAGGCCCATTTGATTTACTTCATAAAATAGTTGTTAACATATTATGAACCCTGAGCAAAAATCATACCATAATCTAAATCAATGGATAATTTAATCAAAACATGCCATGGGATTCAAAAGAGTGGCAGAAAACTTGCTTGAAAATTTCAAGTTAAAAAAAAAAAATTTAATCCCATCCAAAGGTCTACGACCAAAAAGCTTTTTGATAAGTGAGAACCTGAAGGGAGCGGCTATGGCCTGGATCTCCTCTGAGATCCATTGAGAGGGCAAACCAAGATGCATTGGTAGCAGCCTTCAGTTCCGAAAATATTGAGGGGGAAGAAGAACAGGCCAACACAACTTTAAAGGATTTCGATTGAGGTTTACCCCCCAAAATATTAGGATCGAAACGAGATAAGGGTTTATTTGTCATAATTGGCTAAATGGCATTCACCCCTCCCCCCCCACACAAACAAACTGTAATCTAACCTCACCACCAGCCACTCCATAACAAGTAAACACAATAAAAAAAGAATTAAGAAAGCTTCAATTCCCTAAGCATTGAAGCTGACCGAACAAGAAGTGGCCGAAGTTGAGGGGCGGAAGAAGCTTCTTCGGTGGCGTGGATGAGAGAATGTTGTGCCAACATGCGTTGGAGGCAAGGATCCTTTTCTTGATTAAAGATTTGTTTAAATATTTTGAGGTGGAGCTTCCAGGTTGGAACTAAGAAAGATTGGCTAGCAATGTCGATTGGGTTTGGTGTCAGAGCAACGGAGACAAAGAGACAAGATCAAGATCCTCATATTCGAACATGTGGCTCGTGCGAAGTCTTAGGTTTGAGTCCGTACGGATGTCCAGCGAAGACTGGAAAGCCGAAGGATGCTCGATGCTAGAGCGTGGGCATGCCACACATGAGCAAATGCATGGTAGGGAGCCAGAAGCATACAGAAGTAGGCAATACACAAGGCACGAGCATGCAGATCATGGGAAGATCGAACAGCGAGGGACGTAGGCATGCATGGGTTAGAATGCATGGGAGCGTGAGCTGTAGTCGTGGATTGAAATGCATAATGGAGGCCATTCGCGAGTGGGATTGGGCTTGGTTCAGTGTGTTTGCTCATGGAGTTACACTACAGGAAATTCACCTATTATTGACGGTAATTTTCAACAGTTTTGTGTATTTTATAGCGGTTTTCCAGCGGTTTATATATCCCGGAATAAAACACGTAGGAAAAGTAAACAGGCGGCCAATTTCTAGTAGAAAAATTTCTAGCAGTTTTCCAACGGCTCAAACAACCAGAAATTAATGAACCCAAAATTGCAAGTAAACTGCCAAAAAATTTAGGCGCAAAAATAGTTGGTATTTCCGACGGTGAAACTACCGATTATTACCGGCGGCAAAACAAAAACAAAAACAAAAGTTCCGGTACGTGGTTTTACGTTTAATAGTAGCAGTCAAACTGCCGGTAGTTTCGGCCGTCAACTGACCGCCGAAAATACGTACCACCGATATTTAGTGAATTTAATCTAGTGTTAGTGCATAGAGCTTATCAAATCACTGTAGGCGCACAGATGGTTCTTTGATTGTAAAATCTCGACCAAGGTGGAGATTGTTAGGATTGTTGGTCCAATTTTTTTTATATTACTCCATGGGATGTCACATCAATGTAAATTCCTATAAATAGGATGTATAGGTTGATACAAAGGTTGGGGAAAATGAAATAAAGCTTTAGATAATTTTTCCTCCAATAGCTAACTTCTCCCTCTTTTCTTCTCTCTTATAAGAAGACCTCAAGAATTCCTCCTAAAAGTTTTAAAAGGAATCTATTGGGTGAGTCTCAACATAGGTCGATGGTGGGATCTGTGAGACCTCGTTCCTTTGCTGTAGCTGCTGGGAAAGTGATTTTTCCCCAGGATCGGCCGGGACGATGGTGAGATCGTCCAGGCCGATCAGTGTATTGAAAACAGTTGATTTCTGGAATGTTCTCTGGAGTGATTTCTGGACTGAATCGTCCGGGACGATAGTGAGATCGTCCAGGCCGATCTGCACTGTAGAAAATATCGTCCTGAGAATAGTTCTGGGAGCCGTCCAGGACGATCAATTTTGTCCTGATCGTCCCGGGACGATGTGGCGATCGGCCGGGCCGATCCCACTAATGATATAAGAAAATGAGCTCGTTTTGAGGAGAGAGAAAACATTTCACCACGAATTTTTTTTTGAAAAGTAAAGCAATGAGAAATCTACCCCGATAAGATCCTCAATAAGATTACTAGCAAGTAATAAGTTGTGGTGTGGAAGCACAATTAATTTCCATTATATAATTCACCAATAAATATGCTAATTTTTCACTCTTATATGTCAACTTAACCCTAATTCTAATATCTAATTCACATCATCTATTATAATTATAACAAGAGGGATTATGAAAAAAAAAATTCATCGTGTACTAATTAGGAGATTAATTACTCTTCAAAACATATAAAATATTATTTATCTTATATGTTTTCTCTCAATCAATCCATTTATCATTGTACTTCCATCTATCATAAAATATCACACCCATGCAAATGAAATTTCAACTTCCATCTATCATAAAGATTTAGATTTTATTTGGGACAGCTTTTTTATTGATTTCTAAAACAATTTTTTGATACAAAAATTTCTAATTCAAGCTATTTTTCTACTAAAAAAATGCTTTAAAAATAATTAAAAAAATGTCTTAAACGAAACCTTATTCGATCTGGCCATGCACATTATTTGTGCTCCATTAGAGAAAAAGAAAGGGAAGAGAAGTTCATTCACATTTTAAAAAACTTGCCCATTTATGTTAAATTAACATTGCCTTTCCATATAAAAAATGGATTCAGTATTTTCTTCCTTTAGCTCTACAAAAATAAAAATCTCATAAATATTTTGTCATTGGATGCTAAATTTGTGAGAAGTGCGAGATCCACAATTCAAGGAAAGATGAAAGTTTTATATCACTTTGGGGTTTTTTTTAAGCAATTAAAATTTTATGTGAATATCACTATTTCTAAATATTTTAAAGGGTTTCTCTATGTCATCTGATATTCAAAAATATATATTTTTTCATATTTAATAAATGATACAACAATCATGAGAATTGATTGATCAAACTCGATAAACATGTAATTTTTATGTTGTAAATCTTAGTTAATTGTATGATCATGTGTTTATAAATAGATCATTCTTTATTTATAAGGATTGAGAAAAATATTTCTCTCTCTGTTAGACTAGAGAGAGAGAGACTAGAGAGATCATGCATAATTAGGGTAATTAAGTGAAATACATCATGTCTAGATAAGCAAAAAAATGGAGGTGCAATACTAAGGTTTTATTTGAAAACAGCTTTCTTACCGCTTTCTACAACAACTTTTAAAATTTCTGAAAATAAGCGAAAAAATTGATCAAAAGCTATCCTAAATGAAGTCTAAAGTTATATAAAAATAAATTTTAACCAACTTCCTTAGAAAAAATTTTAAATCAACTATAACATAAGCATTTAACCTCTTAATTTAAACATTCTCTCTACTCAGTTCATTCCATATTGATTGTGATTTGTTGGTCTATCTTTTACAGGTTCTCGGGATATCTTGCTGCTCTGTGGTTTTTGATGATATGTTCATCAAGCATTTTGACCGTTATATCATTTGTAACTGGTTTTTTTTTTTTTTGTTATAGCTAAGTATGGAACATTTGCTGATAAATAGGCTTTACAAAAAAAAAAAAAAAAAAAAAAAAAAAATTAAAAAAAAAAAAAAAAAAAAAAAAAAAAGAAGAAGAAGAAAACATCTTAATTTAAGCATAAAAAATCTAAATAATATTACTTTTTTCTCTCTAAATTAATATAGGATTAAATAGATAATCACATATTTAGCCATCATTTACTTAAAATGAATTGAAACCTTTTTTATTTTTTTAATTTTTTTTAAATATGGCAAAAAAAATTGATGGTCATTTAATAGTCGGCACATGAAGTTCCATCATCCCTAAATTGTGTAGCATGCCCACCCTCGATATCTAAACTAACAGAAAGATCACATTAAGTATTCCTTTAATTTTTAATCACAATAAAATAAAAATTTACCAAACACCTGTATAGAATTAAAATTGATATTTTCTATTTTTTGGGCTTTGGCTTATTGTCTATTGTTTGCTTTTTTTATTTGATTTTGCAATTTAGTATGGAATTAGGGGTGTAAACGAGACGAGTCGAGCTCGAGTTAGGCCCAACTCGAACTCGACTCGTGAGCCAAATCCCGAGCTTTAGTTGAGCTTAAAAGACTAGCTCGAACTCGGCTCTTGTCCCACTATAAACGAGCTCAAATTGCTCGCGAGCTTCTGGCAATTTGGTCATCGATCTTCCGCGAACTCGGCTCGCGAGCCTCCGCGGTCTTCTTGTTCGTCCGCCTTCTGAGCTCACGAGCGCGGTCCTCCCGTTCGTCCACCTTCTGAGCTTATGAGAACGATCCGCCTCAAAATGCGAAACTGCAGGAGGGAATTGCGAAATTGCATGCGAGAATTTTAAACAGCATGCGTGATTTAAAAAAAAAAAAAGAGCTTCTGGGTATTTAATAAATAAAATAAAAAATTATTTAAAAAGTATTAATAGTGATTTGAGCGAGCTTAATTGCGAGCTCGCGAGACGAGTCTCATCATACTTAAACTCGAGCTCAAAGCTCTATAAGCTCAGCTCGCAAGCATGTGTATTTTTTTTGTTATATAATTTCTACTCCATGGCCGTACGTTCATGAGTAGGCCTCCGGCGGGCAGTATTGCTAGAATAGAAACGTTCATTTCTTCCACTCATTCGTTCCTCCTCCCTCTATCTCTTTCCTCTTCTTCTCCTTCTTTCCCTCTTCTCCTCCTTCTTCCTCTTCTTATGGATCTGGTTTCTTCAAGGGAGCATCTCTGCTATGTTCGCTGTGCATATTGCAGCACTGTTCTTGCGGTAATCTTTCATTAACTCTACAGCTTAATTCATAGCATGAGAGAAAAAAAAAATCAGATATTGAAGCAAACTTCACTCATCACTGAGATCCAATCTCTCTCTCTCTCTCTCTCTCTCAGTTCAAGATTGCTCCTTTAAACCCGTGTGATCCAAAACTATGACCAAGCAAGCTTTTTGATCGATCAGATCAGACAAATTACACAGTCTTGATCGATCACAGGCCGGTCATGCGAGTTTTGAACCTGCGGGTTTGAGAAGAATTGCTATTTGTTATATTAGGGTTAGCTAAAATCACTTTAATGATGAACTCGTATAGATATCTTTCTGAATTCATTGTGCGTTTTGAGATCAGTGATGTGTTGGTAGTTGCAGGTTGGAGTTCCATGCAAGAGGTTAATGGATACTGTCACTGTAAAGTGTGGGCACTGTAACCATCTCTCCTTCCTAAACCCTAGGCGCTTGCTTCAAGCTCATTATTCTGATCACCAGTTAGGATTTCAGGTCTGTTTTTCTTTATTTTTGGCATTTTTATAAGCCATATATACCTCCTTTTCCCTCATATAAATTATTCTCCTATCAGTATTATGAGAAGATGATAGCATATCAAATATGTAGAATTGAATCAAATTTATCTTAATTTTTTTCTTAAAATCAATGAATTTTATTAATATAAAATCACTAACTACTATGTAAAAGAAAAAAAGAATCAAAATTCAAGAAGAAAAAAATCAAAATAATGAGCAAAACCAATAGCTCGATCGAAGAGAAACAAAACATAATTGAAAAATTCTGGAGCTGCAACCACCGTACTGAAAACATGGAAGTAGCTAGCAGTGAATACAAAGTGTTGAAGTAGATAACTGCAGATTTTGTTGAAAGCCTTTAAAATTTAAATGAAGATTTGTAAATTATGGTTCCGTTCTGGACGACTTTTTTACTGTTTCTTAAAGCAGCTTTTAAGTACAAAAATTTTAACTTTGATATTAAAAAACTGTTTTAAGAAACAGTAATAAAGTCATCTCAAACAAAACGTATAATATAAATGCAACCTAATAGAACCTATGATGTATTCAAATCTCGATGATTCCTATCAATATTGTTAGGATAGAATGAGGAGATTTCAGTTTAAGCTTTAAACATCTTTCTTAAATCTCTCTTATCATAACTAATCCTTTTCATTTTGAACTAAAATTAGAAGAGTCTTCACCTTTTCCCCTTTAAGCACCTTGTTTTAAAATTAAAAAAAAATGTGATTTTTCTATCAATGATTTTTATTAACTAACAGACTTGTAAAAAGATCTAAACTTGTTCATAAATATTTGATCTTAGAAATAAAAAATAACCTTTTACATACAACCAAAGTTCACTTTTTCAAAAGAAATTCAACAAATATAATCTCTCTCTCTCTCTCTCTTATTATGAAGGAACAAGATTGGTTGAGTAAATTAAATTCTGAAGAAAGGGTCTGCTACATTTTTAGCCAAGAATGGGGTTCTTTTGATTTACTGAGAGCTGCTTTGTTTTTTGTGAATTTGCATGCAGGATCCATGTAATGATTGTAGGAAGGGACAGCTTTCAGCAGCATCTTCATCAACTTCTATGGAGCAAGCACCGAAAGCACCTTTTGTTGTCAAACGTATTAAATTTATTTTATTTTTTTAATGTTTATTTATTTATTTTATATTTTATCTCCATCTCTACATAGTTTGTTTGATAACCAATTGCAGCTCCAGAAAAGAAGCATCGCTTACCATCAGCTTATAATCGCTTCATGAGGTAAATTAATCCTTGTCTCAGACTTAATTTTTTAAATTAAATTATTTATTTTTGGTGCTTCTAATTAATCATATAATGATGTTGAGGATAGAAAATAAGATGAGAATTTATATATTTTTTTAATGTATTACTTTGTATCTATATTTACATTCTGTAGCATTTACTATTTTAAGGAAGAATTCAATTAATTTGCATTATATATAAAGAAAGGTTAAGGCTGATTTTTCAAAAAATTTAGCTGATTATTTGCTGCATTATTTGATTAATTAAGAGGTTGTTTAAGACAGCTTTCTTACTGTTTTGTAAGCTACTTTTTAGTACAAAAATCTCTTAAAAGTAGGAAAAAAGCAGGGGTCTAAAATTGTCCCAAATGAAACTTAAATATTAAGTTGATGGTGAACATTTTAGTGATAGCAATGCGTTGTACGTAACGGAAGATACTTACATTAGTTTAGACCATATATATCTGCATTTGGCATGCGAAGGAAATTAATAACACTCGACCAAAAGTTTGATGGTATTCATGTTTTGTTTGAGACAAATTGTTGCTTCCTGAAGCAATTTTTTACTACAAAATTTCTTGAAAGCGGTAAAAAAACAGTGGTCAAAAGCTGTCCTAAATGAAGTAAAAAAAAAAATCTGCTAAATTTGCACAGAGATCGTATTAAGATTTACAAGCAAAAATCCAAGATAAAAATTAACTTGTCAGTTTTTTTAAAGCCAAATAGGAATATTATAATTAATAAGGGGAAAATACAAACAAAACATATACATATCTTTAAAAGGCCAAAAATTACATTCATAAGCATATAAAGAAACTAATCTTTGCTGCTAATATAGGGTCTGGATTGAATAGATATTTCTTAATCAATAATTTAATTGGTTCTACAAAGCTAATGAACATGTCTTTGAGAGTGGAGGGCATTGGCTTAGAGATGAAAATGAAGAAGGCACAAAAGCTATTGTTTTTGGAACCATCTAAGGGAGGGGGTTTGATTATGCAAGGGAATGGCCGGGTATTTGTATTATTTTCATTGAATTGAAGATGACTTTTTTATATTTCTACTTAACTAAGAAGCCATCATGCCAATATAAGTGACAATGAATACAAAATCTAAGGATCATTTTAATCTTCAATCTTTGATAGTAACCAAAATATTTAGAGCTAATCCAAATAGAATTAGAAAATTATTGAGTGGCATCTACTTCAAGAAATGGTCTAGCTAGTAATGGATGGTCTAGATAAAGTAATAGTAGCAATATGCACGTGTATAACTTTTTTTTTTTAAAACCCACGGAGGGTCTTACGCGTTAATATAAAAAAGGATTACAAGGTCCTTAAAAAGACCTCCAGCTCACTAATGCTCAAAAAAGCTACAAAATAAAGCAAAATAAAACCTAAGAGCCGATGGTTCCTTATACTAATAGTTACAAAAATACCTAAGAACATACTAGGGCTGCAAGGAGATATCACCCAAAAAAGGAAGAGCAAAGGATCAACATTCAGCACGAACTTCCTACAAAAAATGTGAACCGAGCCGTAGATAGCAAAATTGGCTTGTGAGTCTGATGAGTAAGCAGAAGTAAAAATACTAGTGGAAAGGTGACAAAAACCTTGAGCCTATAAGAGTCACAAAAATTGAAGAAGGTATTGAGTTACACATAAAACCTAAGAGCCAGTGGTTCCTTATACTAATAGTTACAAAAATACCTAAGAACATACTAGGGCTGCAAGAGACATCATCCAAAAAAGGAAGAGCATAGGATCAACATTCAGCACGAACTTCCTGCAAAAAATGTGGACCGAGCCATAGATAGCAAAATTGGCTTGTGCGTCCGACGACTCAGCATAATTAAGTAAAATTCCACCCAACATACCTACATAAGAAAAACTTACAAACCAAAAGGGTAAGATTGCAATTAAAACAAAACCAAAAAATACCATTGGATAAAGCCATATATCTGCTTTGACAGAAACTGTTGAATCAGTCAAAACCAAGAACCAAGCAACTATCAGAAACCTTATGATCAACAATAGTCTGGACATTCAATAAAAAGAGCAGCTTTCTCTCTGAATTACAACTCAATAAAATCCCCAACAGGTCCCCAATAGGAAAATACACTAAAAGAGAAAGTAGTTCAGCATAGTGCACTCAAGCCCAACCATCATCTCGATCCAAAATTGAGAAACAAAACCCCAACCAACTGTAAAAATAACCTTCCAATTATCACCACAAAGGCACCACCACCTAATCTCATAAAAAACTAACACCGAAGCATCAAGAAACTCCAGGTTAATAAGCCCACCAGTATTAAGCCTCAAACATAAAATAACATAGCCCACCATCTCAGTAAAATACTGAGAATGGAAGCCCCAAGCAACATCAAAATTAAACTTCCACTTATGACCACAAAGGCACCACCACCTAAAGTTAAAATAAGCTAACACAGGTGCAGCAAACAGTGGTTGAGTGTTAAACCCCAAACATAAATTAACATAGGCCTTATTCAACGAATGCCAGCACAAACAGAAATAAACCAAACACCTCCAGCGGATCCACCTCCAGAAATTAAAAGACTTCCAGCAAAAAAAGCAAAACACCAACCACTTCCACAGATTACACCACTAGAAATATAAAGAGGAAACATCAGAGAATGCAAAATTAGAAGGAAGCAAACCAGGCTTACAAATAACCTTATTAAATATTACGTATATAAGGCAAGCCAACTTTATCCAAATTAATCATACCTTTCAACATCGGGTGTAATCTCCGGATATCAAACTCCTCATAATTATTAAGATGACAACCCTTATTAGCTAACCAATCCGCACACACATTAGCTTCACGATCAATGTGAGAAATATAATAATTGACAGATGAAAGGGAAATTCTTAATTTTTCTAATAAGATAAAGGTTTTGAGGATTTTCCGGAACCACATTGGTAATAATTTGGACAAGAAGTATAACATCCACCTCAATCCACACAAAATTAATACCCAACTTAATACAGATATCCAGGCCATAAGATAATGCCATAAGCTCAGCCGTAATGACATTGGACAACTGTAAAGGAGCAGCATAAGCAGCAATAACACAACCCAAAAGATCATGAATAATACCACCAGCACCAGAATAATTAGGCTCAACAGACCCATCCGAGTTGAGCTTGACATAAGGTGGTTTAGGTTTAATCCATTTAACAATCTTATCAACTGAATTCAGAGCCCCAAAACCCATGTGAATACCAAACACAGTAACCATATCGAGATAATTATGAAAGTTCTTAACATAAATAATATTGTAGGAATAAAATTGTAATATTTTATGTCTTGATTAAATAATAAAGCCAAAGTTAACATAACAAATTGTTTAAAAAGTTGAACTCTTAGGTAAGGAAGTCATATCCAAATTAGAACGATTGGATATTTTAAAAAAAAGGATCAAACTTCAAGGACCATTTACAAATTTTATGAAAGATCCCTCAATATTCGAGATCTCGGATAAAAATATAATATGATAATCTTTCATCCATCTAAATTAAATTAAATATTTTTAAGATTAAGCAAAATTCTAAAATTGTGCCCCAAAAATGATGAGATATTAGGGAATTCCATAAAACTAGCTAAGGAGAATGTCATCAAAGAATTTAAGAACATAAGAAAGTTGAAGGTAAATTACTTGATTTTTTTTCATTAGTATATTTTCCAAAATGTGATGTATGAGTAAAGCTAATAAGTCAATGTGTCTTAACAAAGTTCCACTCATATGTGAGACTAAATCTCTTGTAAACATATCATCATATCTTGTTGTATGGAAGAGATAATATTAGCATAAAAGGCATGAAATTTACTTTTTTTTAATCAAATACGTGATTTTTAAGCTTGGGAGTATTAATGAAGAAAAATAGTGGAAGGAATTCTTCATGAAGATAAAGATTAACAAAGAAAGGTTCTATCTTCAGTGATAATTCAATTAGCAAGAACATAACTTATTTCTATTAAAGTAATCAATGTTGAAGAAGATGGGGCCAAGAAAAGGTGATCATAACCCTCAAAAGGTTATCAAAATACATGAAAATGTAATCGATATAGATTTTGATGTGTTCTTTCTATTACTATGATTTATAGGTACATTAATTAATGGATTTTTTTTTTGGTTAAAACCCGCAGTAGGGCCTACGCGTTAATATCCCAAAAATCGGTTACAGAATCCTTAGAAGGTTCCTCTAGCTCTCTACTGCTCGAAAGAGCTACAATTAAAAAAGAAATAAAAAAACCTATGAGCCGGTGGATCATTTTTCTACGATTACAAAAATAACTAAAGAAATAGCTCGGGCTGTGAGAAAACAACACCCAAAAAAGGAAGAACAGAATAGTCCCTTTCAGCACAGTCTTCCTGCAAAAATACTGAATATAACATAAAAAGAAATATGAATACGAAAAAGAGAATACCTTGCGGTCATTGAAGCTCGTTACTCATAAAGTGTTAAGGTGCCTGCAAGGAAATCTCCAAAAAAAGGTATGAGAAATAAAGTTCATAACAGAAATAAGGATCCCAATAATGATATCCCTGTTAGGCCAAAATTTAGTAAACGCAAAAAAAAAACCTAAGTAAGCCCTGCAGAAAATAGAGGACAACTCTGAAGTTCCAAACTGACTTACCAATGCCGTAAATAGCAAAGTTCCTAATAATACACCACACATCTAACCTCTTCCACCGAAAGAAGCCAACCCAGTGCATACTCAAACCAAAACGAAGCACATATTTCCCACCAAGATTACTACAACCAACATAGTTAACATAACATAAAAACCAGTGCAAAGACCCGCAAAAGTGCTTAGTCTGGCCATTAAGCTCAAAACTTGAAAGACTATTCCCAACACTCATATAAAAACAGAACCAATAACTGTCCCAGTAGCAGCTAGCAAACAAAGAAAATCTCAGGGTCATACAGGTAACTAATTAGTGGACTTTAAACTTAACATGTTTTTTTCTTGTGAA